CGCAATCTAAGGTTTCGGGTTCGAATCCCCGTCACACCAAACATGCTCGCCCTTTCAGCCGTGGGGGCGTTATAATATTACAGCCAATCCCACTATTCGTTTGTAAAAGAGTAGCCCAAGAGCTGGCGGTGGGTGGTGATTACTAGCTACCTTCCCTCTAGTCTTACACTGCTAAATTAGGGACGGCTAGCGCAGATAGCCCTCGTGTAGCTCTGGGCGAAATTCAAAAACAAACAAACAAATGATCCACCGGGAGGTATTAATTCATAAACCATGAAGTACTTTAACTAAGTACAGCAAGAGAAGTTCACTTAGTCGTATTTAAAAGTTTCCAAAATGATTTCAGTTTTTTTTAACCTTTTCTCTTTTTTGATATTAAATAGTTTAAGAACATATATAGAAAAAGTCATTCATGAGCACCATGTCAAACTTTAAGCTTACTTGAATGAGCATACCAATATACTGCATACATGTGTATAAATCTGTGTGTATACAAACCATATATCTTAAAGGCATAGACAACCTTCACGTCTCTTGGTGCCTGTTCACTGAAAACTGAGAACATGTCCAAGAAATCATCAAACGTCATGTTTCCGCTTCCATCATGAGAGAACACTTTACAAATACGTTGGCGAAACGGGTTCTCCTGGGAAACAAACACAAATTGCATCCATCACAGTTAACAACTTCCCATAATATTCACAAACAAAATCTACACTTTTATGTTTGTTTTGTTTATTTGTTTGTAATTGATCACAAAGCTACACAATGGGCTATCTATGCCCTGCCCACCACGGGTATCGAAACCAGGATTCTAGCGTTGTAAGTCCTCAGACATACCACTGTGTCATTGGGGGGGGGGCAAAGCCCTGCCCACCACGGGTATCGAAAACCGGATTCTAGCGTTGTAAGTCCTCAGACATACCGCTGTGACACTGGAGGGGGGCCAAAAATCTACAAGCTCGCTTAGTTTAGTCAAAAGAAAAAAGCAATATAATTTTTTAAAGTAAATTACCAAGATGTTCCACTACATTTTATATCAAAATATTTTTCTTTCAAGACAATCAAGTCTCCGCACATGGAATATACACCATTTCAATGCCCAACGTGAATTCTATCTGAGAAGTTCACAGTTGGCACTGATCCCAGATATTTTCAAACATTCAATGCCATAAGTTACCAATGACTTTCTCCTGAGTTCTCTCTGGGCGTCATTCGTCTATTCTTCCGGTGAAGGGCTGTACTGTACTTCTTGTGGACACACATTCTGTAGCATTCATAAAGTGAACTAACAGAATGGGCGCCTACCTATTTCCGGTGAGGGGGCTATCCAAAACATTTAGAGGGCTGCGCTGTACATCTTGTAGACATATAATCTGTCATATTTTGGAAGCGAATCAACTTGAAAAGAAAGCACTGTTCGTTGGGTGTGGGGACTACAGGGGAGGCTAAGAGAAAGTATGAGTTAGCTTTAGCCCCATTAAGCCCCTTAGTCCTTCACGATCAATCCTATAGTTGCAAATTGGAATGGTCACATATAGATCGAGAACCCCCGCTCTACTCTTTGATTAAAAGAATCTAAAGCTTTTTTTTTGTTGTTGTTCTGAAATTCAAGATACTTTGTAGGAAATTATTAGGGGGGGGGGGCGAAAGTAGAAAAACGGTCTGAGAAAAGTAAAAGCCTGGACATACGAATGATTTGTAAATGTTTCGACTTACCTCAGATTTTATAAGTTTGTTATTCAAGAACAATAATGTGCTATCTGTACTCTGTCCACCATAGATATTGAAAGCTGGTTTTTAACGTTATAAGCCTACAGATTTTCCGCTGTGACACTGGGGAGGGTTTAAGTTGAGAAAAACAGAAACGTTTCCTGCTTTTTCTGGATTAAAAAAAATCATGATATACGTCATCATAAAACACTAACCAGACAGAAATTGTTTTTAATCTTGTTATCTCTCAATGAAAAAAAAAATCGTTTGTGTGACTAGCCTTGTGTTTAGGCCTTAAAAGTGAGAAGAAGAAAAATTCACAGAAAGTAGTTTTTTTTTGTTAGTTACTTCTCATTCACTATCCTACTCAGAAAGGCACCGAAAACTCAATTTAGAAAGTTAAAACATGCGCAAACAAGTTGTCTATAATACAATTGCTAATATAAAGAAATTGTTAAAGGAATAGAAAACCGAGGAATATTTCAATGGGCATCAAGCCCCCCAGTTTCGATACCCGTGGTGGGCAGAGCACAGAGAGCCCATTCTGTAGCTTTGTGTTTAATCACAAATAAACAAAAAAATTAATTCAATGGGCATTAAAAATGCCATGAATAATATAATGATTTAGTAAAAGCTGAGGTTATGTCTACGTAATGTGTGAACAAGTATACGTTCTTTAACATGGCTTATATATTACCTGTCAGAACTGGTTTGAAGTCTTTTATGTTCTATTTTTCTTTTGTGATTTTAAATCGTGTAGTATGAACATCATTTTCTTCATTTGAAGAAGAAGAAAAAAAAAACGTAACTGATTTCTTTTGTTACATTTTCATTCCTTCTTAATATATTAATTTCTACTGTAGTTTCAGGTTTACTTTATGATATAGAAATAATGCACTTTATTTCTTAAAATAATAACTATAATTGGCATTTTTACCCTAAGTTCTGGCATTTTTTCTACTTTCTCCATCGGTACCACAACCGTATGTGCTTCATCACCAGTCATGACTTGAGGGACATTCTGGGGGTCTAATTCTCGGAATCTTTTCTGTACCCTAACAGAGGAACACTTTTTATGCCAGTCTTGATAAATAAACTAAGGCTTTTCTTACATTTCTGAAATTTAATATCTTATCTAAAATCAACTTTCTAAAAAATAAACGATAATCTTGGTTTGATAACTGAACAATTTGTCCAGAACAAAACCGTAATTCGGGCAATAAGAATATCCAGTAACAATAAAACAAGTTACAAGCTCTGCATATAACATAAATAGATTATAATATTCATTTAAAATTTGCACACTAAACCAAAAATGTGCAGCTTTAATAGGATGAAATACAAACCGAATGTTGCTTAAGAATTCAAATTAAAACATCAGAAACACTACAATATAAAAATAGTGCGATCAACTTGTCAATATTTCCGTGTTTGATTTCTTCGTAAAATATTCTTTTCGTTCTTTTTCTATTCAGGTTTTTACAATTAATTGTGATTAAATTTCCTTGCAGATTCAAATGAAAATGTAAAATTATATAAAACTTACCTTAAAATTTCCTTCCCAGTGAAAAACGTGCAATCCTATAAAGAAATTAAGTATTTTTTTTGTAGTTGTTGTTGTTGTTGTTAACATGTTGTTCTTTAACCTTTTCTAAAGTATTGAACTTTGTTTGTAAGTTATATATAACAATAGAAATATGAACCTTAGGTTTACGTGTCTTATTTTATAACTTTATTTCAAACTGCAATATTTTTCCAAACGTGGCTTTATAGCACGAAAAAATAAGGGGGGGAGCAAAACTACAATGTGCTGATTGTACTAACTTAAACGTTTTACATGATGAAAAAAAAAACGATCATTAACTTCAGAATAAAATTATACTTATTCCACTCAACGATTCGTTTTTATAATTTATTCAAGGTCGACCTTCAACTTACGCTGCTAGGCTACATGTTTAGAAAAACATATAAGGACATCTGTCTGTCCTTTACAACTATAAATTCTTGTTATATCTAATAATTTTCTTGACCGAAATTATACAGAAGCCTTACTTTATTTAGAAATATAGGCAAAACAACGTTTACATTACACAATATTTGTAATTTTTTATGCTATTGTGTAATGTAAACGTTGTTTTGTTTATATTTTTAAAGTTTATTGCACAATGTTATATATTTTACAAAGCATTATTTATTTCGAAATTCAAGCCACAAATTAATCACGACACACATCATAGTCGTAGATCTTATGTATTCCGTCTAGTTGGCTTCACTTTTTTCTTCTTCAATTATTTGTTTAATTAACGATTCGTATTTCTTTTTAAACGTCAGTAATCAAATAAGTTTCACTATATTTTTAGGCTTACACCAAGCGCGGACTGGCCCACCACGACACCGGGGGAAAAAATGCACACAAATTTGATTAATGCTGTGATTAATTATTTGCCTATTGCCATCACATTAACATTTTAATTAATATGTGTTTGTTTTGTTTTTTGAATTTCGCGCAAAGCTACACGAGGGCTATCTGCGCTAGCCGTCCCTAATTTAGCAGTGTAAGACTAGAGGGAAGGCATCACCACCCACCGCCAACTCTTGGGCTACTCTTTTACCAACGAATAGTGGGATTGACCGTCACATTATAACGCCCCCACGGCTGAAAGGGCGAGCATGTTTGGTGGTATGCGGATTCGAACCCGCGACTCTCAGATTGTGAGTCGAGCGCCTTATCCACCTGGCCATGCCGGGCAATTAATATGTGTGTGTGCTAATACTATCAATAATGATATGCATCTAAAAAGATTTACTAGACAATATTTATGTTGAAGACTTTATCTACTATCTTGTGTGGGATTCTTAAACGTTATCAAAATTACTGATCGTGTGAATTACGTATGACCAGTGTTTTAACATTAAATCACATATACTTTTTAAGTATGTATATTTATGACAAGTTTTTGGACCCTTTCTGGATTTTTTTAGAGTCCAGTCTGCCCTAGCTGTACACGTACATTCGATGTTGCTGAATAGTTTTGTTTTACTGTAAACAATATTGTCCACGTGACCATGTTCCATACTTTCCATTGGTCCGTAGAATATATTTAAATATAAAGTATGTTACGTATTTCAAGTGTAACAGTGTTAGTAGCAGCTCCTGAAGTTAGGCAGAAGTTATGAAACAAATACCTTCTTTAATCTTGAAGAAGCTTTAATACACTAAATTACACTTTGGTCGGTATTTTTTTAAATATTCAGCGTCCGTGCAGTCTTTACTAATTCAATTCAGATCGAATATACTGTTGCGTCAGCGAGGTCACGTGACTAGCATCACGCCACCTCTTTCTAACGGAGACGTAACAATACCATGGCAAACAACTGATTACTTCACATACGATTATTACGTAAGATGACTATTGCTATTTTGCACAACGTACTTATTTCTCACGTCTCAGCACATTACCTCTTGACAATCTGAGCAAAATTTCGAAAATAACTTTATTACTTTGTTCTAGAAAAAACTATATTTACTGAGTCTTAAACTTATATACTCTCGTTCTATTATCTTTAGAATGTAGCACTAAGAAATCAGAGGAATTTATCCTATTGATTCGTAGAATAATATTGTAGACTTCTATAAAATCACCTTTTATTCTTCTTTTCTCAACAGAAAATAAAAAGTCTCATCCTACCCTCTTTCATCCTCGGAATCATTCTTGTAGTTCTTCACTGACCCCTTTCTAATAAACAAATATTCTTCCTTATTAACGACTGTTGTAACTTTCCTTTCTAAGTTTGATTTACTACAAAACTTTCTAGAAGCTTGTAGTGTTTTCTTTTCGGTTTTTACTGAATATTTAACGTTATTTATTACTACCAGCTCTATGCGTTTGTTACTGCGTTTCATTACAGCAAGAGTGGTAGCGTTAGGCACACCACATAACATATTTAGCGTGTCGTTTTCTTTATATTACCTTTAACATTGTGATACTTTTGTGGACGATTCAGGTATTATTTCATTTTCTTATTTATTATTTTGTACCTTCATAAACATTAGTTGTTGTTTTTTTGTTGTTGTAATACAGGAAAACTACAGATACTAACTCGACACGATTTAAACAGTGACACGTGTTGTCTTAGATTTGTCACAGATGTTACTCTCTTTTGACGTTAAACAGTAGGAGTGACTTCATGAGTTATCTTTAGTCAAAAGTCGCGTTAGGAAGAATTGGAGAAAAATCAGGCATTTTATATTAAGATTATGTTTTTCAAACAAGTTTACTTCTACGACCTTAATTCAAGTCAATAGCTAGTGTTTCTGTGTTCCCTAAGTAAGGTGTAATATATTATTTATGTTACTTTCATTAACAGTAGTGATTATACCAGCGTTTCCCAAAGTGTGGGGCGAGTCCCCCAGGGGGTACAATGATCTCTTGGGGGGAGGCGAACAGTTAAGGTAGAGTCAATAGTGAAATAATGCAAAACTAAGCGTTTTAATATATTTTTCATTTACGAAAATATTAAGTACTCCAACATATATATAGCATTTTAATACGCATGATGTATTAAAGTTCGTCACTTAACTCACTCTTTCACTCATTTATAAAAGGAGGGGGCGCGCAAGAAACCATATTTATTTAAGGGGACGTGAATGACAAGTTTGGGAAATGCTGGGTAATTAAAATCGAGTGCAATTAGTTTCTATTTTTATCATTCATTGTTTTGTGATTGACTTAATTCTCCCAAGATGGCCAAACCTCGTGAGATATTATTGGAATTATGGCCGAAAATGTCGTTACAGCTAGGGTACCAAACTGAAGAAACAATGTATTTAAATCATTATAACTAGAATCGAAATAAAAGTATATTTGATTAGTTATGCTGATTGCCAAGTTGATTTTTAGTTCACTCTAAGTATACAGTTTGATATGATCGAAAGTTAGTATTAATTACATAAGCAGACCAAAACTGTAAACTGTATTCCAAGTGAGGCTTACAATAGTGATTTGTGTGTAGAAGTAATTACCTCTTTTGACTTGTAATTAATATGTCTATAAATACACTAAAATTCTGTTATCTTTACTACTAGCAACAGAACACTGCTTTGACGACTTGAGTGACTTATTCACAAATATGCCAAGATCCTTTTCTTCAGTCATGCTTTTGAGTTGGATCTCATCTATAATTAAACGTGTAAATCCAATTCATTACTAGCAATAGGGCCGTTACTAGCAATAAAGATCCAGTTTGACTGGACTCCAGTAATAATAATATTTTGCTATCTCCAACCCAAACGCCATACAATTCAATTAACTAGCCTTTCCTCAACTCATTATTGTAGTGATTTTATTAGCTAATCTTTTGTATGGAAGCTTATCAAACGCATTTTGGAAAATCTGAATACACTACATCCACACTCTTTCCATCTTCCAGATAACAACTTGACAAAAGCAATATAGGGTGTTTATATTTGTGGATCTTATCCTTCCTAAAATTTCGTTAGTATGTGGCGTTTAGAACTCTGGGTTGACTTCTTCTTCCGGTCTGGTTTTGTATGTTTTGTTAAAATTGGAAAATTAGAAAATGCCTTGAGAATTAAAACCGAAAACCAAGTATATACGGAGACTAGGAAGAAGGTATAAACGAAATTTGGAACAACATCCTAAAACTGCGAAAAATAAGAGGATTATTCCACGCCTCTGTCAGGACCATACTTCAAACCCACACACCCAAACAGAATAACAACTTTTGGCAGACACTCTAGAAGTTCCCCAATACAGAAGCAGGACTATGTAGCCTAAGGTTTACAAGGAAACTCTTATCATTCCCTATAAAAATAAGAGTAAAGATTAGCAACTCTTCATTCCTCAGCATCTGCATATTCTCTATTGACCTTACAATATAGTTCATAAAAATGGTTTCAGTTAATTCATCCGAAAAGAATAAAGATTAGCAATTCTCCATTCCTCGGCATCTGCATATTCTCTATTGACCTTACAATATAGTTCATAAAAAATGGTTTCAGTTAATTCATCCGAAAAGAATAAAGATTAGCAATTCCCCATTCCTCGGCATCTGCATATTTACAACTGACCTTACAATATAGTTCATAAAAAATGGTTTCAGTTAATTCATCCGAAAAGAATAAAGATTAGCAATTCCCCATTCCTCGGCATCTGCATATTTACAACTGACCTTACAATATAGTTCATATAAAAATGGTTTCAGTTAATTCATCCGAAAAGAATAAAGATTAGCAATTCTCCATTCCTCGGTATCTGCATATTCTCTATTGACCTTGCAATATAGTTCATAAAAAATGGTTTCAGTTAATTCATCCGAAAATTCCAAAAGTTTTAGTTTTAATGGGTGTCTTGGGCTCCACGATCTTAAACTTGTTAACTTTGAAATTTCCATCTGATAAAGAAGGTCTTGACAATAGATTGAAACGCCTTCCGAAAACAAGCTATAAACTTTGGTCAGTTTATCAATCATTCTAGTCTAATTCTAACTGCTTTAAAAAGTCCATCGATAATTATAATGAGTAAACTAACAAAATTACATTAAACATAATAACTTTGGATGATAAAATTTATAAACGTCATATTGAACTACAATAAAAACGTATAAGAAATAGAAGCAATTTTTGACTATTTCACATAATTAGACCTAAAGTTAGTCGATAATCAGTAGTATTTTTTTCGCTGCTGATTATCGGGTAACTTTAGGTCTAATTATGTGAAATAGTTCTAATTATGTGAAATAGTCAAAAAATTACCCAACGTTACCTGATAATCGTCTAGCTGCTCTTCAGTGAATGTGACAACTTTGTTTCCCATTACTAACTTGGAAAATAACTTCTCAGAGGGTTACAACCAATTTCTGACGTTATTAAGACTCTAAATAAAATATATGTAAAACCTGTATTACTACCTATTCTTAGCACTAATATACTTGCTTAACGGTGCTGTTAATTGTCTCTATTTAAAGATTCTAGAACCTGACCAACTTTATGAAATATCAGTCTCAAATGACGTAGAATTTCCGATCTCGACAGTAGACCTAAAGTGACGTACAAAAGAGTACTGCAAAGGGTGTGGTTCTTTTTGGGTGGTACACATTTTGTGTCTGATGCTCCTTCGGTAATGACAAAAGCAGTTACTGATCAATACTGGATGTATGCCTAAAAACGATACGTGTACGTGTTCTTTTGGATTTGAACAACGTTATAAAGACAAGATAGTTATTATTCTGTCATACAAGATAACACAGTCTTTTTTTTTCTTTTTATAAAACCTCCAAAAATATGGAATCAGAAAACGTACATATATTTAAAAATGAAAAATATTCTCGAAATCAAGAAAGAGAAGCCTTCAAAATGGAAATTCCTTTGTACGAGCATTCCTTCGTTTTGTAATTTTTTGATAATAAGGAATAAACATTGTTGCATAAAACTTTAGGGGTTACTCGGTAGGTGACTAATTCAAAATGAACAATAATATTTTCATGGACTGCATGAGTACCAAATCTTCTGGCCCGGCATGGCCAGGTGTTTAGGGCGCTCGACTGGCAATCTGTGGGTCGCGGGTTCGAATCCCCGTCACACCAAACATGCTCGCCCTTTCAGCAGTGGAGGCGTTATAATGTGACAGTCAATCCCACTATTCGTTGGTAAAAAAGTAGCTCAAGAGTTGGCTGGTGATGACTAGGTGCCTTCCCTCTAGTCTTACACTGCTAAATTAGGGACGGCTAGCGCAGATAGCCCTCGTGTAGCTTTGCGCGAAATTCTAACAAACAAAACCAAGTCTTCGGAACGAAAGCATGACCTGATCGAGAGGGTTAGCCAGTATTAACCACGATTCTTGCATTTATATTTGTCAGTACGAGATACAGTCAAAGTAACAACAGTTGCATGATATACTTGAAAGAAACTAAGTAAAAGATGGTTTTATATAACTTTATAGTACATCCAAAGACAAATATACCGTAGAAATGTAAACACAAAACGTTGTTATATATTTATAAGTCCAACACACACACACACACATTTACAAAATTGAATAATAAACAATAATTATATTCTTTTATATCAGAGTTGATAAATATTTGTTGTTGTTTTCTTAATAAGTTACTGGCATTCACTTTCTTGTACATTATATTCAGCAATAAATAACATAGGCCTACGAATTTAAACTTCATAAAAGTTGTTTTGGTTTTAATAACGGATTTTCCAAAATTCAGCTACGCGGATTTCGAAAATAATATTCATCTTTTTCTATCACGTAAGGGTTTTTTACAAATCGGGAAAAAAAAACTTACTTAGATCAAATTTACAACAAATATAACAGAATTTGTTTGGGTAATTTACACAACTTCTTGTTGCCAGAAGAAAACAATAATGTCAAAGTGCACGCACAATCAAATACTGTCCAGAAATAACACATTATGCGGCCTGTTAACCGTTTATATACTAGCGGTGTGTTTCTCGTGAGTTTAAGAACGATCGATAAGACTCTTGCGTCGCGATTGGTCTAGAGAAATCTATAGCCAGTGGTTGTCAAGCATAACAAAATGTTAACCGATTTCAATGAAAATGATCCACTTATGTAAAAGTACATATGACGTTTTACGAAAACTCTGTACACGATGGAGAAAAATGGATATGATTTTCGGATTCAGCGTACAGGAACTACTGTAGAATATGTAAAAATTTTAAGACAATAAAACTATCGCAGGCCTGTGTAATCGCTTTGTTGGTAGTGTATTTGAACTTGGGATTTCGTGATGTTCTAACTAAATATACAATAAAACATGTTGCAGACACATAGGCTTGTTAGATGCAGTACGGTGCGTCACAATATACAAAACCTCTCGGAATTAATCATGACACAACTATTTTAAACACATATATTCTTATCATGAGTAACAGCATTATATTCTTTTTTTTTAATTGTGTATTTTACTTGAGTCTTGATAAGAATAGGTCGGCAAACAACTGAGGAAATAATGTTCTTCTTTTCTTGGACTGATCTCATCCTATTTTTTAAATTACTTTCTTCCAAAGGGGAAAGCAACACAAATTTAAAATACACCAATAAATATTTTAGTAAAACAAAATCTGAGTGCCTCTGTCGCTCGGGGCGACAAAAACCAGTCTGCTTTTATTTTCACCTGTTTCATTTTAATAAATGTTTATTCCTATTTTTTGTGCTCCCAATGAATCCGTGCACGAAGTCAATTGAACATTTTGGATTACTTTCCTCCAGTTAATATGCAGTGGCTTTGGTCTTAAAGACCAAAGAAAGCTAGACAAGATACTTAAGATTATATCGCTTTAGGCAAAACTACAGTGTTTAGTGTTCATAAAATATTAGTAGTATCAAGAAAAACCGAATAAGTATCGAACCCACAGCGCCCCCTTCCAACCTGCTGATTTCTTTCTGTCTAAAGAATCCACTCAGTGAAGCAAAGACCTGTGCATACAGTATTCAAACTCGATGAATTGAGCAAGCAGCACGCAATAGTGCGGCTTCAAGTCTTATTTCTTATTTGGTTAATAACTATTGGACGGTTATCCATCACTTGCATTTCTTATTCAGTTAATAACTATTGGACGGTTATCCATCACTTGCATTTCTTATTCAGTTAATAACTATTGGACGGTTATCCATCACTTGCATTCTTATTCAGTTAATAACTACCGGACGGTTATCCATCACTTAAACTTCTTATTCAGGTAATAACCATTGGATGATTATCCATTACTTAAATGTCTTATTCAGTTAAAAACAATTGGACGGTTATCCATCACTTGAATTTATTATTTAGTTAATAACTATTGGACGGTTATCCATTACTTGAATTTCTAATTCAGTTAATAACGATTCGGTTGTCATCTTGAGTATACTAAAAGCTAAGTAACCGTACACTCTGGACCAGAGCCGTATCTAGGGTAGTGCGGGAGGGGCAGTTGTCCAGGGTGCAATCCGAGCGCTAAGCCTGTTATTCAATAACTTATGCAGAACTATACAGACTGGTGGGCAAACAGAAAACTTACCATTTGAACTTATCGTCCGAATTAACCAAGATAATTTGTTATATTTAGTATGGGGCTTGTGTTCCCGCCTGCACTCCTTATTCTTCAACTACGACGTCTTGTTCTTACATCACAATTATTGTTATATTTTCTAGTGTTGGTATTTACCATCTCATTCAGCTACACGCTTCGTTCGTAATATCTGTAAGTTTTTTAGGAAAATGAAAAATAGGGCTCGAGAAATAGCATATCCAATACTCCTGGACATCCTAAAATTCTGCTGGCTACCAAACATTACAGGAAGCATGCTCCACAGTGCAATCGGTTTTTTACTGTATCCGTGATTGCTATAAAGTAAAGTAAAAACTGAGATTTATTGCAATTAAATGTGGAACATTGATTTGTTCGGTAATTCATTTATGTTCATTTATTAACTATCCTATGTTATGAAAACACTTGATACTGATGGAATAGCGACCATGAATAACACATTTGTTCTGCAAAGAGGTGTGACCATAAAAAGGTTAGGCAGGCCTAAAGTTCAGTACACTGAGTAGTCACAAGTAAATAGATACCCAATTTTTCGTCATTTAATTGATTTATGCTAACTAATTTGTGTTCACATAGCACTATATAAATGAAAATGGTCCGCACACTAATTATCCTGTGCTACAACATGCTTAGAACTCAAGGTTCTCTCGAATTATAAGATTTTGTTAGAGGAAGGATAGTTGGTCAAGCAGATGGTGGAATAAGTCAGCGGCAAAT